TTATGCGAGTGAGAGTGTCGGCGCCTCGCGAGTGCGCTGCCTGCCACCAGTGTGCAGTCTGGCCGGTCTAACGTGCGCATGGTGCAAACTGCGCCCACTGGGGCTGCTTTGGGGCGGCACGCGCCAGCCGCCACTCTGTCGATGCCGCGCCGCGCCTGCCTGCCTGCCTGCCTGGGGATGAGGGCGGCGCGCGTGCTTCTAGTGTAGGTGATGTCGTCGGTTCTCGCCGATGCCTGGTGACACGGACCCTCTTTGCCCCGGCAGGCCATGGCGGCTGGTCCGCTGCTGGCGGTCCTTTCGGCCCTGCTCGTCGGCGTGGTGATGGCGGCCCCCGCCCAGCCGCAGCTGCTCGCCGACAAACTGGTGGCCGTGCCGCTGAACCAGGCCGTGGCCGTGCCGCCCTCCGCCATGGCCGCGGCCGCCGCGGCCTCGCACCAGGTGCCCGTGCGCGTGGGCCTGGCCGGCGCCGTCCCCTTGGAAGAAGCCGTGGCCGCCGAGGACAGGATCCGCATCTACCCCGCCAAGACGAAGCGCTCCAACAGCTTCTTCGAGGCCTACAGCAGCAGCCACGGCGACTACCACCACGGCCACCAGGCGCTCCACCACCACAAGCACAAGGCGGAGCACAAGCACGGCCACAAGGCGGACCACAAGCACGAGCACAAACATCACCACGGCCACCACCACGCCCACAAGCACGAGCAGGAGCACAAGCACGAGAGCCACCACAAGCATCACCACACGGACCACCACCATCACAAGCACGAGGAGCATCACCATCACGACCACGAGGTCCACCATCACCACAAACATGAGGAGCACCACCACCACGAACACAAGATCCATCACCACCACAAGCACTCCGAGGAGCACCACCATGCTCACAAGAACGAACACGGTCACAAACACCACGAGCACCACAAACACGAGCACAAACACGAGAACGAACACAAGCACCACCAGCAGCATCACCACAAACACGAGAACGATCATCACCACGAACACCACGAACACCACCACGAGGGCCACAAACACCAACACGAGGAGAAGCACGAGCATGGTCATCACCACCATCACAAGCAGGAGCATCACCACAAGCACGAGGAGGAGCACAAACATGGCCACAAGGAAGACCATCACCACAAGCATGCCCATCACCACGGCCACCACCACAAGGAGGAGCACCACCACAAGCTCCACCACGAGCACAAACACGGACACAAGCACGGTCACCACCACGGCCACGACCACAAGCACCACGAGGAACACCACGAGAGCCACAAGCAAGGACACGAACACAAGCACAAGCACGAGGAAAAGCACGAGCACAAACACGAGGAACACCACGGACACCACCACCACCACGGCCACGAACACAAGTCGGACCACAAACACAAGCATCATGCCAGCCACCACCACGGCCACCACAGCGAGCACCACCACCACGGCCACCACCACCACGAGGAGCTGTTCCACCACGGCCACAGCCACAACAACTACAAGGCCGAGGTGGCGGCCTCGCCTCTCGACTTCGGCGGCGGCCTCGAGCTGGGCAGCCTCTTCTAGGCCTGGGGCAGGAGTTCCAGTATGTGATACTCATCACACTGCTTGTTCTGTCAGACAGGATGTGTGGGTGACATCCTTCGGGCTGATTCTTTTCTGCACTGTCCTGTTGCTGAGCGAGGAGTATGACGTTAGCGATAGTACCACTGTTACCGTGTTCAGAGTTTATCCTTGTTGCTTCTTATAAGTTTTCCCGCAATGTGAAAAGTACGACGGACGTGTGCTGTGAATAATGTGTCGCTTCAGTGCGCTTAGTCGGATGTGCGAAGAAAGGGTGTCCTCCTTCTGTGATATGTCGGCCCGGTCTTGCTAAGGATCCCTTCTCATTGCTTTGTAAGGCACCCGTGCCAGCGCCATGCACTCACCGAACTGTGCAACGTGTTGCAACCAGAGGAAACTGACTGAAAACTTTTAAACGCTCCTCGGCCGTTGCATCATGGGCCGGTCGCAACATTTTGCCTGCTTCTGTAAAGTCTCGGGCCGTTACTCTTATTATGGCCCGCGGCTCGCGGTTCCCGACCGAACGTGTTATTGTCAACTGTGTTATTGCTGGGCTGCTATGTACTTGCACCATAATTGTTTATTGTTACCATGAAACCAAGAAAAATATTTTTGTAAAAAAAAAGAAGGAAACTGTTTTTAAAGTCATCCAGGGTTGCAATAAAATTGCGTTTAAAATAGACCGACGTTCTCATGCTTGCCACGGTTTACCCCATTTTCCCCCAACACACTGCAATTGGACTGAGAGAAACTCGAGTACTGTACAGCAACACGTGCACTGCGAGCCCTTCAGCCCTCCCCCTCCCCTGGCTTTCTGGAGCCCTTCGCCCTCCATCATTCCGATGCCGACGCATAACTCCACTCCATCCCTCGCTACGGTGCATCCCTTCCGGGTCCGTGGAGCGCAGCTGCTTACAGCGGAATGCTCCTCACATGGACATTCCAGTGACGGGGCTCGAGCAGCAGCTAGGCGGCAGCTAGGCAGCAGGCAGCCCAAGTTTACCTCTTCGCAGCCTCGCTGACAACTACGACACGTGGAAACTCCCTGCTGCCCAGTGCGCGCTGCGCCGCTGCGCCTCCCCGGGCCCTCCCGCCCAAGTTGCAAGTTTCGGCCGTTTATTCGCAGGCAACAAGCATGGCAGCAATGGCAGCGCCGCCTGTGGGTGAATAACGCCTTCGCTCGTGTGAGTGGCGTCGTGGTGGCGAGTTTGGTGGTCGCCCGCCCCGCCGGCCCCGCCGGCAAGTTTGGCAGTTTGAAGGCGTCAGTGGCGCGCACAGCCAGCACAGCTTGCCGGACAGTCACCCTCTAGAGCCGCCATAGCCAAGCCGAGCAGCGGCGACGCTTAATCTGCGAATAGCGCGGCCAGCCTGCCTGCCAGGCTCAGCCGCTATTCCGAAGAGAAGTTTTCATCGCCGCGCCTCTCGTGCGTGCGACAGGGACAGAGCGACGGAACGACTCCTTCGGCATCGGTCCACTGCCCGGCGGGCACGCTGACGCTGACGCTGGCCGGCCGAGTCGGACCGCCAATAACAATGCACGGCGCTCCACTGCGCGGCGCGCGGCACTCGGCCGGCGGATGGGCCGACCGAACCGACCCGCGCGGCAGTCCGGGCAGTTAGTACTCGGTACCGGGCGGTACCTGCCTGACGCCGCGCCTGCCGGGCCTGCCGGGCCGCGGCCACTGGAGGAAGGAAAAGTATCTGAAATGTGGGACAGCGCGGACGGCGGCGCGCCATGCTGCATGCAGCCAGCGGCGGGAAAAATAACAACGAAATGATGTGCAGAGCGGAGTGCAGGAGGGGCTGGCGGGTGCCTCGTTATGGGGTAACAGGGCGGCCTGGGGGTCGAGGGAACGAGGAAGGGAAGGGCGAAGGGAGAATTCAACCAGGACCCTCCTGTGGGTGCCAAGAAAAAGTGTCCACGCTGCGTTCGCCACGGCTACTTCTTCTAATGGGTGGCTGGCTGCGGCGCTGCGGTCGACGACGGCGGCGGCCAGGACCGCCATCGGGAGGGCCTCGAAGGGCAGAGAAAGGAGACGGGGCCCCGCGGGGGCGGCGGAGCGCGCCGGCTACTGGCTGAATAATCAGGGGATCGCTATCGGGGGCACGCGCGGCCATCGGGCGGTGCATCTAATCTCGACGTGCTCCCGGACTCCTGGACGTGCACTGGATGCGCCTCGGGCGGCACGGCGCGGCAATGCCCCGGCCTGGGGCCAGGGCCTGGCACGCACCAGGTGCAAGAAGCTCTTCCTAGATCCCCCGGCCCGCTCGTCCATCTGGGAATCGGCCCGTGCCAGGCGCGGACCCCGCCCTGCCCCTCCCTGCGCACAGAGGGCTTGAAGACCGGTGGAGGTGGCAAAAACTTTCGACGCATTTTGAGCTCCAGAGTCGCTGAATGAGACTCCAATCGAACGTGTGACCCCACCAATGGATTGCTATCCGAACGAGGAATCCGTCGGTGGGGTCGTTCGGTTCTAGTTCCATTTTGCGATTCTGGAACTCAAAACGCGCCTAGAGTTTTGGCCACCTCCACGGGTCTTCTGGCTCACTGTGCTGCGCCTCTCCGGGGCGCTGGGAAAAAGACGCCCCCACGGTGGGCGAAAAACGAAAACCGGTGGATCACCGAGTGGCGTTCGTGCTTGCTTCGGACTTTGGCCGAGGACCGCTCCTTGCAAATCTGTAGCCGCTGACTGGCTGCCGTCCAAGCCGTCCGAAGCGCGGGGCGAGGCGCGGGCCCGGGGCCCGTGCCATGCATTTTTGGCTTCCAATCGACTGCTCCAGAGTGATGCATCGCTGCAAATGGCGGCAGGCAATGCAGTAGTGGCACCATGGTGGCAGTGGGGAGCCGCGAGCAAGCTGGAGCACGGCGCCGCAGCAGGCCGTCTGCCCGCGTCTGCCGCTGCGCGTTGGGCTGCCTACCTACCGGGGCCACCGCCCGGCGGCGCCAGCCACCCATTCAACGCCACTTCTGCCAGGCAGCGTCCTTCTTTCATGGCCGTTGGCTCGACACCCAAAAGCGGTCATAAAGGACGAGTCGCAAGGCCCCGGGCATGCGGTATGGCGCCCCTTCAGCCCTCCCCCGGGCCCTGGCTGCCCCCGGGCCCCGGCTGCCCCTGGCCCTCGGCCCCCGGCCCCTGGGACGCGGCCAGGACGTAAAGCCCTCGCGCCTACGGTCCCGCAGCCACAGTCCCGGCCAAGAATAATGGAAAAATCTAGACTACTTTGCAAATCCGGCTACATGGGCGGCCGGGCACAGCCCCGGGGCCGGTAGGGGCCGGACGCTCAGCAGATGAAGCAGCCTTTTATTTCTGAGGAATAAACCGACGAAAATAGTGATGGGCTTTCCCTCCGCGAACCCGAGTAGACTCGATGGTTCGGTAATCGAGGAGGGGCCGGCGGAGGACGACAAGAATAAACTAGACAGAAGGAGGCCTTACCTGCAGCATGGGCAGCACGTAGCACATGACGGGGCCGAAGACCCAGTTCTGGATGAGGAGCACCACGACGGACAGCGGCACCACCACGCCGCACTGGAATATGTTGGCGGCGCAGGCGTTGGCCAGCAGCCGCACCGTGCCCCTGTTCTTGTTGGAGCGCGCGCGCGCCAGGCGACACAGCCGCGCCAGCGCCAGCCCGTTGAGCAGCAGGCCCAGCACCACCAGCACGGCGTACATGGCCACGAACAGGACCCACGTGCCCTCGATGGCGGGCCGGAGGTGCGGCTTGGAGAAGTCAGCAGTGTCGTTGCGGAAGCCGCTCAGGAAGTTGATGATAACCTCGAGCCACTTGTGGCTGATGGTGCCCGCCGTGCTCATGTGCTGCAGGTCCTCGTTGGTGATGCTGGACAGCCCGGAGAGGCGGTGCGCGCCGTGGGGGCTGCCCGTCCCGGACACGCCGCCCCACGTCCCGGGGGAGATGCCCCGCGTACTGACAAACAAAGCGGAAAAAATGAGATCGTGCCGCCAGAGCGGTCGCCAAACAGGCCAAACTTTTTGCAACCATGTTGTGAGCCCAGCTCAGTGTTTTCGTCTGCAAGGCTGGCGCATTCTGCGAAGCTATGCCTGCCTCTCCGCCGGGGTCGTCGGGATCCCCGACCCCGACCCCCGTCACGCGCGACCCATTACGACCCCAGATAGGCTCGCTGGAATTTCGGACCGCGGTCCTTCAACCTGGCGGCGTCGCGTCGTCGGTCCCGAGCGAGAGCGACCTCCCCCCCTCCCCGGTTCAATCCTCCCTCCCTCTCGCCCGCATCCCCTCCGGACGGCGCAACGGGAAAGATCAAACGGGTGCCTTCGCAGCTGTAAATGTGAAACGGCGTCATTCGGGCGGCGAAAGCCCCAAATCGCGAACCGAAGAGCCCCAGAGCCCCGTGACGCGCGCAGTGGCGCAGCGAGCGCAGCCAGCCAGCAGCCAGCGCGCGGGGGAAACACTCTGGAAGGAATGCCGGCTTTGGGTGCTTTGGGTTTCCAGCGAGGCAAGCGAAGCGAAACAGGTGGCGTGGGCGGCGCGTCGCGGCGCGTCGCGAGGGGCTGCGGGTTGGCTTAACCGCGCTCGCACATCCTGCGGGCGAATCTTGAGCCTGGAGCCCCCGCCACCCCGCCCCGTGTGCGCACCGGCAGCGCTTTCCCCTGGTCATTGCACAGGCGATCCCGGTTTGGCGGTGTGGCACGGCGTTCCCGGATCCGGATACGTACTCCTCATTTGGAAACTCGTTAACCAGCTTCCTACACTTTTCCCGCCGCTATGATTCGGCTGAAGTGTGTGTGTGTGTGAGAGGGGGGAGCGGGGGGGGGGGGGGGGGTAAGCGCTTTGATTGGGATTTAATGTGGCTCCTTGTGATGGGCACGTCGCAAACGTCACACACACGCTCGCCAGAGGACTTGAAGTTGTCGAGTTGATACAGTGCTCACTCCAGCTAAATTGGTAAAAGTTTTAATGGGTGAACTGTAAACATGAAGTTTTCATCGCTTTTCCTCAAGACTTTGCAGCACCTACCACCCCACCCCTGAACTGAGAGCTACTTACCTACTTTCACGGGCAAGCCGCTCGCTCGTTTCAAAATGTTTCCCATTCTATTTGATAAAAGTATTGGCGGTTCTATCGGCACGGGGCACTTCGGCATCATGATTAACCACGGCGACTCAAAGAGTCCAAGTTTTCAAGTTTGAAGTCGAAAAGAGGTCCGGAAGTGGGCGTCGGGTGGGAAGGGAAGTGGAGGCAGCCCTCTACTTCCGGTTTCCGGCTCCAGTCACCCCGTCCCGCCGCGTCCCGCCGCGTCCCGCCGCGTCCCGCCGCGTTCCGCCGCCCTGCTCGCGGCAGAGGGGACGTGCAGAATCGCCCTCGGCCTCCAGGCGGGCCTAGCCGCCTAGCCGCGCCCTCTAATCGTGCAGGGGAAACAACGGAGCAACTTTGCACAATGCAGGCCGCCAACTTGGCCATAATTAAGACGAGAACGACGGGCCAAGTTAACCTCCTTCTAGGTCGCTCGGCAGGAGACACCGAGGCCTCCTTAGGCTCCGCCCGCTCCGCCCCGTCCGAACGTTGGCCTGACCCCCCTGCCGCCGCCTGCCCGTCCACCACCCTGCAGACTCGTCGCTCTGTTTCTCTCGCACCCACACGGGGCGTCCCATGAGTGCGAAGGAGACAGCGTGACGAAAGCGACTCTCGGAATCAGTCTACTGCCCGGCACTGCCCGGGCTGCTCGGCGCGAGGCGCGGCGCCTGTCAATTAGCTAGCGTGGCCCCGTCCCCTCCCCTCCCCTTTCTTCCACGCGCCAACTTCCGCGACACCCGCGTGGCGGCGTCCTCACAGCAATATTTCCAGGCCTGCAGGGCCACATGTGGGGGTTCCTCTTTAGAAGCGGGCTCGGGGTGAAGTTGAGCGGGCCGCAGAGCCCGGCAGCACCCTTCTGTTTAAACCTTTGTCCGTATGCGAAATGTATCCTTGGCCCCGTCACCCCACTACGCCGTTATAGTGATGCCCACAGCTAAAGTTTTCTCGGCAAGGGCAGAGTTTTCGGCAATCTCTTAGAAGAGCAAACAAATTTTTCTGCTAAAGGGTTGGTCTGGATCAAAATCGAAAATAATTCTTTTCGCGCGTTTTCTCTTGCACTCATGGGGCGTCCCGCTCACTCTGGTGTGCGAGAGAGACGGAGTGATGCTCTGTTCGGAATCAGTCTGCGGCCGGCGAGACGGCCGATGAGACGGCAGGAGTGGTCTGCGCGGGAATCTCATTTAATGCCGCGTTTTCTGAAAAGGCGTTGGCTCCAGGCTCTCCTCCTTGGGCTTTTGTCTCTAGGCCGGGTGCTTATTTTCTGGCTCTGTCTTGTTTAGAAAAAGTCCATCGCGCCACCTTTTGTCCCAGGCTCTGGCCTGAGTAAATAACGGGAAAGGGGCGACGGGGAGGGGCCGGGGGCTGTACGAGTCCGTTTCCCGCCAAGCGCTCCTTTTTAAACAGAGCCGCACCCTTTCGGCCCCCCGCGCATGAAAGCACCAGCCCCTCGCACTGTATCACGTGGTGACGGAGCAAATGCAAGAAAAGGCCACACGGGGCTGCGGGCTGCCTACCCACCAGGCCGTGTCCTGCCCACCAGGTGGGCCCCACCTGCCCTGCCCTGCCGCCCTGCATGCCGGGCTGCCTACCCACCAGGCGCCCCCTGCAGATCCATGGGTTGAGGTCTCGGGTCAGGTGCAGCCAACTTTAGCTCAAGACGCGTTTAGATAGATGTGTGCGTGTACGAGTGTGTGTCTCTTCGAGGACGGCTCCTTACCTAGACGCTGCGGGCATCTTGAGGCGTTCCCGCGCCGATCGGGGTGAATCGCTCGCGGCGTGGCTAGACCAGGCTAGACGAGGCTAGACGAGGCTAGACGAGGCGGCGGCGCACAACGCCTGCCAAGTTGGTCGGCGACAGTCCCGGGGGGCAGTCGGCAGTCCCAACTCCGGTCCAAGTTAAGCTTAGATATCCGTCTTACTTTGAGCGGGTTGGAACTTTACTGATCCGGGCCCGCGAGGCTACTGTGATTCCGCGGCCCGGGATGCCATCGGGTGGCCCAGCACGCCCAGCACCCCCGCGACGACAGCGGCCCTGAGGCCTGAGGGCGGCGACCCGCGAGGCCCCCGACGGCACGGCGGCAAGGCCCGCGGCGCTCACGCGTACAAGTCCTCGGCCAGGACGCCTCGCCTCGCTTCGCCACGCTCCCGTTCGCACCCTCCGGCGCCACCACGCGATCTGGTGGGGACGCGTGGCGGCCTGGCGCGTCGCGAGGGCTGCGGGGCTCCACGGCGCCAGCATCCACTCCCACCCCCTGCAACCCCTCCCCCTCCCGCGCGACGCGTCGCCCTCGGCACCACGCTGCCGCGAACCGTGCTGGCTGGAAACACCCCTAATAGTGGCTAAGCTGAGGTGCGGCCTGTGACTGCAGCACCAATAAAAGGCCCAGCACTTGGCTCACTCGGCCGCCCCGCGCCCCGCCCGTGTTGGGTTCCTGGTAGAATGCCCTCCTTCCTCCCTCGCGGTCGCCAGGCTCTCCGCCCTCTTGCGGGGACCTCCCACCCGGTGGGGAAGTCCCAAGTAACCGCCCCCTCCCCCTCCCCCCGGGCTGAGTATTGAGAGTGCGCATGCCCCCAAGGCGAAAGTAAGGGATTTTCAGAAACGTACTCTTATGTCACTTGCCATCATTCAATTTATTGAGAAATGGAACAAGTTATACAGGACAAGTCAACAATTTGACAAAGACTCATCTTTGAAACTGTGACATCAGTACCTCATCACCAGTGTATCACATAATGGTTCTTGTTTGGTATACATTGAAGCAGCTCCTTGTTAATAAATTAGAAATAATATATAATAATATATTAAATTTTCTCTTACACTAGACAAATAAATAAACTTATTCAGATAAACATAAATTCCTAAACGTCAGTTAGAGGCATTGAAAACAACACATAAATTCCATGAATAAATCAAAGGCAACAATGAACTACTTATATGTTTGGCTTTGAGAGTGATGTATTGAAATGGTCAGAAGGACAACATAACATAGAAGTATTTAAATAGACTAAGACTTTGGGCAAATTCATTAGTAATAAAATGAGACCTTGTTATTAAAATACTCAAATCAAAAAGAAAGTTCCACCCACGTTAATATACAGGTATAGAAGTCATGTCATAGAATATAAAGGAATATAATAAAAGGTAAAGGTATGACAAGCACCATATTGCATAAATAATGTTTCTTGGTAAAATCAGTCTACAAAAACTCATTTATGTGCTGGGCTTGATATTCTCTGTATCCATCAACAAAGTAATATTGCTGAAACATAAATAAAATGAAGCAATCAATCACAACCTTCAGATACAAGAACCAGATTGATAATTAATTGTGACGCAGTTTTGAATATTTCACCTGCATTGTTTGAAAGGCTCCATTTCCAATGAGCTCCCGAATTTTGAAAATTGCGTGTGCTGCTGTCACATCTTCTTCAAGCTCCATGTAGAAAGCAGCAAGAATCACACTGACTCTTCCAAGAAGGCTTCGAGCACTGTAAAAATCACAGAATTACTTTTGAAATTTTGGTAATCTGAAGTAGAAGTTGCAACTGAAAGCAATACTCACTGAATATAAACTTTGCTGCCACTGAGAAGTGTGTTCCAAAGGTCCACTAAAACTGTTCGAATATCTTTGTAATCAGGTGACAGGTCTGGCTCAATGGAGTAATGATGAACTCTTATGTCTTTGCTGTGATAGGCATCGAAAAGTTCCCTGACTCTGAAATATGACAACTCACTCTGCTTGCAGAGACAGAATACATCAGTAATGCCATTGTCAGTCAAGACCTCTGTGAGGAATAACAAGGACAACATTTTACAAGTTAGTTCAGACTCAACAAGGATAACTGGCACAGCAAAACAGCATTTACTTACTTATGTCCTGTTCAACATTCCTCCAGGTTGTTTTAAATTTCATTCCCGGTAATACACCGACAGCGACAGACTGCGGCTCCACGATTTTTGAACAATTGAACCTGTTTCAGTAAACCAAAACAGAATAAATGACAAGAATAAAAGGGCCAAAATAATCACAAAAACATAACCTGAGTTTGAAGTTATGGCAGTATTACCAAGTCAGAGCGAGGGGACAGACGGCTGAATGGTTCGGTATGCTCATTTCTGACCCTTTTCTGCAACAACTGAGCTGCCCGTAGACAAAATAGGGCCAAAAGTTACAGAAAACAATGCAAGTTTGGCGTTTAGCGTCTGAAAGGGCTGGATGCAGACGGCAAGTTGGAACGTACGCGCAGGCGCAGAGCAGACGAGAGGTGAGCGGGTGACAATGTAAACTAACTTTGAAACAAGAAATGTTGTACATAAAAGGACAATATTTGGTTGTGTTTAGCGATCGAGACTGTACAACCCATCAAGCCTTTACAGTGGTAATGTTCTTGATTCTTTTCTGCTTTTTCTAACCCAAAGATTGGTTTAACTTTATCATTTCTATTTTGATGCGTTGGTCATCCGGAAGTCCCGGAAGTTTTCATTCCCTTCCCTGAGAAGATATTTTGAATTTGTTAGTTCAATTCAGCAGGCCGGCTGACTGAATATTTACTTGTTTTGGGACAAGAAAACACGTTTCTGTCTGCTTCCATGCAGAAAACTAGCCTCAGGCTTTCCCTGTCTGCTCGGGAACCGGGAGTTTCACTCAAAACACCGCTGTGTTGCGGGTTTGCCACTTGCCTCTGCAGCACAGCGAAGATGGAAGAAATCCCGCATTTCGGGTGGGGCATGATTCGTTCATTCAATTCATAGTTTTCTGAGAGGGGTGCTTGAATTGAGAAAATAAGGAATGTTGAAAAAGTGAGACTTTCCAGATTGTAGTTGTTTTTAATTATTAATGTACACAGAATCAAATACTGTAAAGAACAATGTTGACACCGGACTGCTGCAGCAAAATAAATGTAAAACAATTAAAAAACAAAACAAAGATTGGTTTCTCACTCTACCATTAATTGCACTCTGATTATGGGAATGTCAAAAATAATAACACAATCAAAACAAACATTTTTTGTAACAATAAAGAACTGGAGTAAAGTACAAATTTAACTTAAAACTTTGCAGCTATAGTCTTGTAAACTATCTTCTAAGTACTCTACAACAATATCATATGAAATGCACATACATTATCATATGCACTAATAGTCTTTTTTAAAGATATATTGTTCCTTGTAGATATTTTATAAATTCCTTTCTATATGTTTATATAAATATATTCACAATAAATTTTGTATCAGTCTGAGTACCATTCACTTTGACTGCTGTTAGAGAGCAGAGTGAACATTGCTTACAAAACCAGTCAAAAGCCAGTTGTTCCTTTTGTCCTCTCAGGTGCACTTGAAAAGACTATATGTATCTTCTAAAACCAAATTTACAAAAAAGAAGATATTAAAAGAGACCAGTCTTCAGACTGTAAGAGAATTTTCCTTAATAATTTAATTTTAAAGTACAGAAGTTACATTTATATCAACCAGAGAGGACAGTTCAGATTAAAATCTGATGTTTTGGCACTTTGGGTGTTTCTGGATGAGTTTCATTGCATATAGTATTGTGCTTTACAATAGAAATGTTTTATGATATCTTTGTAGACAGATTTGTATCATAGATGTACATAAGTGCACCCTAATGTGCTTCTTTCATAAAATCAAAAGTCTTGAACAATAATATCGCTGTTTAGAAAGAAAGCTTGCAGGCAACATACAAATCGTTGGCCTGCTAATGATCCTTGGTAACAAGAGATATTCAGCCAGGTTTTGCTGTTGGATGGACAAGGTTTAGCTTCCCTGATAGACTGCTACATGTCACCATGCATGAGATAACAAGTCAGACAAGTCCTGAGATCACAGCTGAAAGTTTATGGCTTTCTTAAAGAAGAGAAATAATCAATTTCTTCTGAATACACCATAGACAAATCAAATCTTGTTAGTGAATGTCTTTGTCTTTGCATGTAAAATAAATTTAATAGATGTCATTAAGTGATATAGTACAAGAGAGAAAGAAAGTTTGCACCATGAATATTCTTTCTCATGGTATGTTAAGGATGATTGTCAATGTTAAAGGTGACAGCAATATCAATGCTTTCAAATAACCACATAGTTTTGCCAAATTTATAACAAAAAGCTTCCATTTGGAATAAAAAATAATTTTTAACCAGGCTCATCAAGTAAACAGTCACAAATTTAACTGTTGCACAAAGCAAGTTCAACATCAACATGTGGGTAAGATTCCAAACTCCAAGAAAGTATTATAGATTGAATAACCTACCAATGAGAAGTATTTTATCACAAAGAACTGTAAAGTGTCATTCAAGAACGATTGGAGAACCAAGTAACCACTGATTACAAATGACACAGACTTAATGAAAATCTAATTTTAAAAAGCAAGGCACCAGAAACAATTGCTGCTTTTAATAAGAGCTTTGAACAGCGTTGTCCAACATTCAAATCTTTCCATTATCAGTCAAAAGAGGTGAGCAACAAACGGCAAAACTATGAAATTTTTCATTAAGAAAATACAAATGGTAAAATGTATAAAAGTAGTACACAATTTAGTCGAAGAATTTCTTGGTGCTTATCACACAAAAGGAACCAAAACATAGGTGTCAGAATATTCATCTAAAAATAGGCTGTCTATGAAAGATGGCCCTGACACAACAAGGAACTGTTCTGTCATCCTAAATCTCTCACTGTCCTATGAAACAACGATGAAAACAATGAAAGTGACATTATTGAGGGAATGCTCATACACCTGCATACAGATTAGCCATTGGACTAGGAACTCTGAATTCCAACTTCTAATAATCATGAAGCTTTCAAGAGCCTTGAAGAAAAGCTTTACTAAATTTTGATCATCATAAAGGCAGTTGATCATCAGTCGATCAGATTGGAAGTTTAAAATTGTCCTACAAACAGTGCTAGTTTGTCAATTTATAACAAACAGGGCGCAGTATTTTAAGAAGCAAAATTTTGAAGAGTTAACCACCATCAGCTCTTGGAAGAACATGAATTCTATACCTTTCACAGAGATCAATAAAATGGCAGTAACACTGAAAAACTTGAAACATGAACATTTTTTAAAAAATCTTACAAAAGTCACAAATATGGGGGGAAGAGGCAGTACAAATACATGGTTCAAAAACAGCACTTACAAATTTCAACAAGAATTTCTGAAATTGTTTTGATTTTGGGTCTTTTCTTTTTTTTAGTTAACGTGGAAAAAGGGATAAAACATAAAGCAATTTAAAACATAACGAGAACCAATCACATTTACCCAAAGAAAAGATCCTTTTAACTAACAATATTCAGGATAGCAATACTACCAGGTAGGACCACCAAATTTTGTACCCATGACATTTATGGCAAAACATAACTATCTTGGCAATGTACACTGCCAATATCTGCAACTACTAAACAGTACAACTTACTTAGATGAAGATAAGGCAAGGTTACAGCAAGATTGTGCTATTTGACATGCCACTCATTGAAACATAGGCATTGTGAAACAACTAAAGTGTGTAAGACAACCTTAAGTATATTCACATAGATTAGCAAGTCATTTTTAACTGGAGAAAAAGTGTAGTACTGTACGTCGATTATAGTAGTCACTTTTTCCTTAACTTCATCCTATGGCTTTCCGCATTCATAAACTTTGATCATTTAAACTACAACCTAAAGAGTTTCTTTGAAAGTCATGTCACAGAATGGTTTCAAAAGCCATAAATGAAGTTTGACATCATTGTTCATGTATTAATACAAAAACTTACAATAATACTGTCAGCACTGAAAACATATTTTGATTTTCAGAGCTGCCCAAGTAAGTCAACTCATCAATTACTAGATTCATCATCAAATTAGCATTTACAAATAAAATATTACTTTAAAAATTTCAATAATTCAAGATATAGTCAGGATATTAAAGACAGGCAGTTGCAAATATTTCTTACAACTTGTTCATAATATATTATCTTAAAGAAGCAGCCTTTTAAAGGCAATTTATATTACACCAGAAAGATTTATATACTTACATATGCAACAATGAAAAGTTTCAAGTTTTGATTTTAAACACAATGTACAAAACATATAAAAAGAAACCAACAAAAAAACCTCTTGATCACTTAGAAAACGGTTACTCATGTACAAAAAGTGAAAAAGGATCATTAAAAATTTCTAGTTTAAGCACTCTCAAGCACACAATGGACACACTTAAAAAAACGAAATACTATATATTATGGATTCTGATGCACCACACAGCTGTGTGTAAGTCTTTTCTCAATTTCTCACAAGTTTCCTTGAATGTAAGTACATCATTATCTTACTGGAAGTAAAGAGTCTGATGACTCAACCCTGCTTAAGGGATCAAATGTGATGCTTTGTGGACAGGCCCCTGCACCCTTGGTGCATAAGCTAAGTGGGTAAGAGGGATTTCAGCGGCTGGCACCGTGAAACAGCAGGTCAAACAATCTGTTTAATAAGATTGTGGCTTTGTCTTGTAGCCACAGTAGAGTCAATTGAAATTTCTACAGTCATCAGATCCAGGTTAACCTGCTTGTAACGTAACATGGTAGTTTGCGGAGCACAAGATGAGAGAGCATCGTTTCAGTCATCTGCCGGTTCCCCAGTTAAAAACTCACTACAGCAGCTTACTCCTGCTCATCAGTATTGGCATGAACAGTGGCACAACCATGGCTTCTACCATGAAAATGGTAACTAAACTATAGTCAATAAATAAAACAAAAAGAATATAACATTACTATTTTAGGGGCATAACAATGCATTGTGACCCTCTGCTTTGAGTATGCCATTCATATCCAACACCCACAGATTTAGGGGTATAAATAATGCCAAAAGTTATCAGAAACATTGGCAGATGCTCTAATCACAAGTCGTATCGATCCATGAGGAAGAATCACTCGCAGAAGTAGCACCTAGAAGTTAGGTTGCCAGTCTTGTTGCAGTTAAATTGTATACATAAATACATTTTTATAAAGACAAAATTTTCAAAAACAGAAACAATTTGTGATATGCAGTCATAACATATCACAAAATGGTGAAAGCGGGATACAGAGGGATCAGAGTTAATTGATTATTCTTACTTAAAATACAAAATATATGAACAAATCAAAATTTTCAAGAGGTGCCAGTTTTCATTCAGAGTAGTTGCAATAATGAGATCAATTTTCTTTTCTTTAGTAGCAATTGCAAATATTATTTTAAAAAATGCATGATCAATCTCATGTCAAAGGTACATTGACAGATCCAATTCAAATCATCTTTCTCCAAATGAATCTTGCGGCTGTTTAGATCAGCACTTTAAAAACATCAAAAGGATGATAGGAGTTTAAATACGTCATAAGGAAAATATAGTTCAGTGCTCACATTTTTAAAAACAAAACACCAAGTCACAAAAAAGATTGTTAAAGTCAACTTCAAAACTTCAATGCACTTGATGCATTTGATTTATGCACATATCTTTCAGCGAATCCAAACTAGATGGCACAGTGACACCCAGTGAGAAATTGAGAGTGGATGTTGATTGAACACCAAATGAAGGTGGCATAAAAGTACACATCACCACACATCTCACTGGGATAAAAACTTTGATGAGAGTAACTCATTGTAGTTCTTCCACTATAAATGGTGCAACTAACACAGTCCACATTTTTGCTTGGTTCAGAGACTAATTCTGTACAAATGGAAGGCACGCTAATGCATCTGTGGAATAAAAATCAAGATGGCATATAAATATGGCTGATGCAGCTAAATATACTTTTTTTAAGTATACTACCCTTACCTGAAACAAGGTGAAATGTGGCACTGTTAATGATCACCTCCAAGTAACTCCATAAGTAAATGAAAGCTTGGCCCTTCTCTTTCTTCATTCATTATTGAAAGTATCTCCTTGCCAACCTGAAACAAGATGATTTGCTCATGATAGAAACACCCTACGGAAAGTAGGAATAGTGAACAAATTTTGGTAGTACTTGTTGAAGGGTAAGGTGCTTAAGGATTACAGATTATGGGTCTAGGAAAATAGAGGGACAATATACACACTAGATTAGGCACAACAATAGGCAAAACATATAAAGCAACTAAATGTTTGTTTACTGCGTAAACTTTCAAAAGTAATTATCAATCATTGTGTTCATACTAATACTTTGAATAATACTGGCATTAGTTGTTAGATAACATGGTAAAGTTGTAACAGGCAAAAGAGGCAACTGTTACTTTCCTAAAAATTACACAGATGTTTGGATTCATAATTGAATTATGTTCAGAATTTAGAAAAAATCCTTTGACTAATCCTGAAAATTTTGGTTATGGTTCAAAATAAAGCTGACATTAAAAAAATTGATGGTTTAGCCCAGTTTAAAATTATGTAGCCACTACAACGTGCCAAACATGCTGAGTATTCTGATCTACCTTCTACAATGCCTTCAAAACAAGGAAAAACCACAAAGTGTCTACAATACTGACCATCCTTGGAGCCGCCAGCTTAAGAGAAGAAGGGGCAAGAACACGAAAAAAAGAGAGCGTAAGATTTACTGAACATCTGACTGAACAAAGCACCAATCAAAGCAAAGTAAGGCTGGTATAGGAACGAAAATTTCATTCAAATAACAAAGGTTGAAGCTTGGTTGCTAACTTACTAAATTAAACCTATTTGTAAATAAAGCACCAAAAACTACAATGAAAGCAATATATAAATACAACAAACACAGCTCCATGGCCGTTTTATTTGTTTCCTAAATAACTGCCGGAATGTGACAGGCATCGGTACATAAATTGTCAATACAATTCCTAGATAGCCACAAGGTTGACTTGGTCCTTTCTTTTAGTATCTAGAGAATACAAAATGCTGCTAAACGCAGAGGAGAAGAACAAGCAGAGAAACATCCAGGAAACAAAGAATCATACAGATTCCAACAGTAGCAGATTGTTAATTAATTTTTTTGTAGGGAGGAAAAATACAACAGGACAGGCATCTAAAATTTCAAAATTAACCAAAGATGATAAGTTACCTGACATGTACGCTGCAGATCTGGAATACGCAAAAGAAGTTCACCAAACTTGGATGGAATGTCCGGGTAATGATCTGATGTGTATTGTTGCAATGCTTGCAAAGCTTTTTCTTGTGAGGCTCTCACCTTCTCAGGTTCAGAGAGATCACTCACATCTGAAATTTAAAGAAACATGTTTAAAAGACTTTTTTAAAGATTAAAAAATGACAAAATTGAATAAAAACATGAATTTTAAAAAATGCGTACCAGAAGTCACAAGCACAATCACTTTCATTGCCACATATTCATATTCATCAACTCGAAGACGTCTAAGGTGCTCTGTAAAGTTTAACATGCGCTCAATGCAGGGCCTTAGACCAAGGTCTTGAGCTTGTGCTAAACTGATTGACTTTCCATGACCCACTCGAATTTCTCCAGGGGTTCTCATTGATCGGAAACAGCATGACAATAATAAAAGCTCACACCACGCATTGAGAAGGAGAGCAATTTGGTCATCAACCTGAGAACAAGATAAATAATCAATGAAAGATTGAAAAAACAAGCACTCCCAAACACAGAACAAAGATCAGTTACTATGCATTAATGCATTACTGTATTACTCACAGAAATATTTTTAAAAACAGGTAAGTTTTTACACCACTTGACAATTTTATATAATCTATCATCGGCAATTTCTGTTAGGTTTGACAAATTTGATGCCTCAACACTGCTGCTGCTACTACTGCTGCTGCTACTGCCACTGCTATTAGTTGCAGTTGCTGTGGGATGAGCATTTGAGCTACTAGAACTGTTAAAACAAAGACAAATAACAAGATTAAGTAATCAAGAACTCCATAAAGCAATTTGGAAAGACTTGAAATAATGATGGGGCAACATTGAACCTTTTAGGGGATGATGAAAATCCTTGATGATGTGCGCTATGTGATGCCTGGGAGCCGTTTCCCATTTTATGTTGCGTTTCTTGATCATTGCAGAGCCAGAATCTTTCTACTTCCATGATTTCCTGTATCAAAGCAATACGAAATTTATTTCAAGCAGGAAAAATTGGACGGTGGTAAGGATAGGAAACTCCCATGTGCTGGAGACAAAATTTGGAAGCTAACATGCGAAAATTACCTCTAATAAAGGTGGGATGGCTCTCCGATGAGAAGTCACTGGTGGCACATGCCCATGGTCTGGAACTTCAAGCTTGACCTGGAAGTCTCCAGGTGATCCATGACTCGTAAACTTAGAGTGAGATGAACCATTGCTACTGCTTGTTCCCCCACCGTTGGAGCTGCTAGGATTACCACTGCCTGCACTGCCACTGGGAGGCGTGCTAGCACCATCGGGAGGCACGAGCCCAGCGGGAAGAGTGTAAGAGATCTGATATGTGCTGCGGCCGCCACGAGTACGGTCTTCCCTGATTGCCTCCAGCTTCATCCCCTTTCGCAAACACTTCTCAAACCGGCAAGCTGGACATTTCTTGCGAGTAGCTATGGTGACTGGGCATGTGGAGCCTCGCATGCAAACATAATTCTTACGATTCTGAACTGTCCTTTTGAAAAAGCCCTTACAGCTCTCACATGAGAAAATTCCATAGTGAAAGCCTGAGATTTTATCTCCACAAATTGGACATGGACTGCAATACCAAAGGAAACAAGAAAACAAGAATTGAGTATGATAAGACAGGCTAATTTTTAAAAAAAGATCAATTAATTACATAAATCTTACAAACCTATTGATTAATTGTTGCCTTGAAATACCAGGCGCATTCAAACCAGAGTGGTGAACAAGGTCTGCAGCCAAAGCAGACATTTTCTCATCCAAATATGCACCGTCTCGATCATCTAAACAATTACAGGAAGTTATTAAACTTTGAAAAACATAAGACTGAAATTTAAACACAAAAACAGAGCAAAGCACTTACCTGAAACTCCTTGCAAGGGAGATCCATTTCCATTAAAATCACTAGCACCACCTCTGTTGAGGACAGGGGAAGGGAAACCGACAGCATACATATGCCTGCCTTGGATGGGAGAATGAGTGGGAGAGAATTGCGTGGGGGAAACTGATACTGACGAGTAACTGCAAGCAAAGACAAAACACAATTTATTTTCACATAGAATTGCTTTTAAAGAGTGGGAACAAGTTATATTGTCATTCCAATTATTCTGCTTTGTATTTGGTTCTTACCTCTGACTATAACAGCTACTGTGTTGGCTTCCTCCGTACTGTGAGGCATCTGAATTATTTCGTGATAGAGATGGCGTGTAGGGAGAGGAAAAGCCAGATGAAGGCAATCCATGGCTGGAGCTATGTCTTGAAGTGACAGGAGACTGAGTTGGCGATGAGTAGGAATAAGCTGAATGAATTGCTGAATCAGGACTGGGGTTGGGTGGGACTTGTTTCCCTACACTTCCCAGTGGCCTATGAGGCAGCACAGGGCTATAACAACTGCCACCGCCTGCAAAGAAAGCAACACATTGAATTGAGAAAGATAAATACCATTATTTGCGCCCAAAAGTGGTGTAATGTACACATGGATGTTTGTCTAAGCTATCGAACCTAGTAATTTGCCAACCAACAGTGGCAATTCCGTTGCTCCCGAAGCTAGTGAGGATGGCTGCGGTCGTCCTGCATTTTGTGAACTACTACTGTTAGGCTTCCTCACATAATCCATCTAAAAATACAACAAAAGTTATGAATCAATGTTACTACAAAGTAGTAAAAAAACTTGAGAAGTAACAACAACAATGCCACTTACCACACTTTGGCCAAACTTGAGTGGCAGAGGCTTTTCGTCCGACAATGTGTCTGCGTTATGTACAACTGACACCTGCACTCCCTCCATCGAAGTGTCTTCCTGCATCATTTCAGTGTCGGACAATTCGCCCTCCCACGACATGGGCCTCACCGGCTCCTCCTTCACAATGGCGTCCTGGGAGTCCTCTGTGGACATCAAGTCGTGCTTCTTCTTGAGGCGCATGTTGACACCTGCGACTGCGACGCACCACAGGTAAGTTTCACATGCCACCGAGCCCCGAGGTACACTGAAAATGCCTCAAACCGATACATACCACTAAAATGAATCTTGCTGACTTCGTTGTCGGACTCCGTCACGTCGTCGTCCTCCACCATCCTCTCCGAGCTCCTCTCCGAGCTCCTCTCCGAGCCCCCGACCAGCACGCTGCACTTGCCTTGCCCCGACACGATGCTCCCGTTGCATGTCGCGGGGAGGGGGAAGTACTTCTTTCCTGCAGGACAGAGCGACCACAACAAGATGAGCACGACACCCAGGAGGCCGCTTCGTCTTTGTCTGTCTGTCTTTGTTTGCGCCGCGTCTTACCATTGGTACCGATGGCCGGCCCGGGCCCCGGTATGGTCGTCACCGTCACGGGCCCCGACGCCACCAGGCACGTCCCCTGGGGAGCCCCGGGCGACGGCGAGCCCCCCGCCTGCCCCGTGTCCGGGGGCACTTTGACCGAGGACACCGACGTGGACGTCTCGGCGGGGACGGGGGAGGGTGATGGGGACGGGGACGCGGACGAGGACGAGTGGTGGGCCTGCTCCGGTGAGGACTTCGGGGGGCGAGCCCCACTCCACGGGCCCACCCCACTCATCGCAAGCTGGGGAAAGGGGCGGCGGCGAATTAGTACAAAACTCGAAAGGCACGTAACAAAAGGAAAAGGGAAAGAAGAGAACGGGACACTCACCAGGCTAGCGGACAGCGTATCATCTGGAGGGCGGTCCCTGGGGAGGACTGGCTGCTGCGGCGGGGGCGGCGGGGGCGGCGGGGCCGCGGGGGTGCAGTCCCGCGCTGCTATCCATGGGCACCTCAGTCAACTGCAACACAGAGGCGCTGAATCAGCACACACGCAACAACAGCAAGAACTGAAACGAGGACTCAAACTACACGCTAGAGGCTGGCAGTCGCGTGGCACCGCGTCAACCACGCCGCGGTGTCGTGCCTGGCCGCGCTCCATCGGGCGGGGCGGGGCGGGGCGGGGCGGGGGCGCCGCGGCGCGCCGTTTGGGGTTTTGGGCCGCGCCTGGCCGCGCCGCGTAAACTGGCGCTGGCACCGCCGCTTGACGGAGGGCGGCAGGTGCGTGCCGCTGCCGCTCACGCCGCGCGTCTCCCATTTCTCGCGGCGAGCGGCGAGCACGGCGACGAGGGGCCGCGTCCACAGAACGGCCGAGGGGTGCCAGCCGGGCCGACGAACCAATCAAAAGGAAAGGACTCGAAAGGTCGAAAAGATGGCGCGGCGGAGCCTTGGGCGGCGCCAAGGTGAAGAGGGTGGCGGTCGGGTCTGCCGGGGCCGGGGCGGCCCTCGCCTCGTGAGCCCTCGCCCTCCATTCACCCCGGCCGGCCGGCCTGGGGGCCGAGGCAGCCCGACGACGGCCTGTGTTTCCCGCAGGGTAGCCTTGGGGCGCGGTGCAGTGCGGTGCAGTGCGGTGCAGTGCGGTGCAGTGCGGTGCAGAGCAATGCAGCGCAGTGCAGCGAGCCGGCGAGTCAGAGTCGAGCGGGCCGCAGCCGAGCCCAGCCGAGCCAGCCGGCTAAAAATAATGCGCGGTGCCTCTCGCCTGCTGCAGCCTGCGCCGCGTGCTGCACTGCAGGCTGCGGGACTCTGGCCATACCGCGAGGTGCTGCAGGACAGCCGCAGTTCCGATAAACCGACGGCGCGGCCGCGGCGCGCTTGAACCCGGGCCCTGGCCGCCCTGGCCGCCCTGGCGGTCAGGCTGCGCCTGCGCCGCCGAGTCCGAGTCAATCACAATAAACCGCGAGTGCGCGCGGCAGGCAGGCGGGCAGGCAGGCGGGCAGGGCGCACGGCGACACGAACAAGCGCAGCCAACGCCGCCGACATTTCCAAGCGGACAGTACCCGGCCGGGCCGCGCCGCCCCGCGCCAACCTTAAACCAAGGTGAACGGCAGCGCGTAGCAGCGTAGCGCGGGCCATCCCCGGGGGAAACCAATATCCCCTCAAGGTCCCCGTCTCCGCCTCCGCGCCCCTGCGCCCCACCAACGCCCCACCCTCGGCCCTCGCCGCGACCTTCACACCCGCCCCGAGACCCCCAGCGCCGGGGTCCAGCCCGTCCAGCCCACCGCGGCACTGTATACGGCGTCCTTGGTCCACGCCGCGCTGGTCAAGCCCTCGCCCGTCAAGGCCCAGATGGACGGGCGCGGCCGAGGGTGCCGAGGGTGCCGAGGGCGTGGTGGCCGCGAGTTGGGGTAGGCCGGCCGCGGGCCTGCGGGGTGCCGCGGGTTGCCACGGGGTGGAACACGGCGGGGAGGGCGGCGCACACGCCGAGGCCGTCCGTTCGACGAGGAGACGCGCGCTGGAACGCCGCGAAGTAGGATAGGTCGCGAGGTGGTGAGCGGTACGTGCACCGGCAGCAGGATTATGCCAAAACGGCGCTCCGTCGCTCTGCCTCTCTCGCACTCGTGGAGCGTCCTGAGGGGATGCGAGACAGAGCAACCAGCATCGTTCTGCAGGGGTCACGACAAGAGACCGCCTACGCCGCTAGCAACCCGAACGGCGCCGGGAGGGTAGGCACTCCCATGCGCAGTCCCGGCGAAGCCGTGGGGGGGGCTCTAGCCCTTTCGGGCGGTGGCGTGCTGTTGGAAGGGAGAGGAGGAGGCCACCTTGGAGGGACGACCAGGCCATCAGAGGACAAAAGCATTAGGGGTAGGAGGCGGCAGGCGGGGCGGCCTGGAGAAACGGGTATCAAATGAGCAGGGGCGGGGCAGGGCGGGGCGCGGCGCGGCGGGGCGTAGATGGGTCGCCGATAAGGGAATGGTGGGGTGGCGGCAAGGGCGGCAAGGGCGAGCGCGGCGTCACGGGCACACCAAGCAGGCCAAGCAGCGTGGAGGCAGAGGGCACAAGCCGGCTCAAGCCACCGCCTAAGTAGGGGTGGAATCTAAAGAACACGACAAAAGAAAACGCCGAGAGAGGTAGGCCCACGTTGCTGTCCCGTTGTCAGTCTCTGGTTTCTGCGCCGCCGAGCCGCCGCCGTCCCGCGCGGCCTCTAGTACCCGGTCCAGTCCACGGCTGGCCGGGCCGGCCGGGCCGGGCTGACTTTCGCAGAAGCGATCGTTACGGGGTTATGAGTCAGCGGGGACGGGACGCGCCACCGCCGGCCGAACCACGCAGTGGCCGCAGTGGCGGGAGCCGAAGCGTCGTCTCGTCGTCATGTCTTTCGCGCGCCATGAGTGCGACAGAGACAGAGCGCCGAGACGATTCCTCGGAATGGGTCCGCAGCGCCCCAGCACGCCCAGCACGCCCCAGCGGTGCGGGTGCCAAATCGCAGCGCGCGTAGTGCACGCTCACCGTGGGCAATGCAATGCAATAGGACAGGCAGGGCCAAATCGGGCCTACAGGTGCGTCTGCCGTCTGCCGCGCGGGGCCGCGGGGCCGCGCAATGCCCCTCGACGGAGCGCGGCGCGGCGCGGCACGGCACGGCGGCACGCAGAGGTCGGTCATTGGCCCCGCGCCGCGCCACGCCGGCCGCGCCTCCCTCCACGCCGCGAAGCTCTTTAGCCTCGCGCAGCGCAGCACGGCACGGCCCGGCGGCCCCGCTGGCTGGCTGGCGTCGAGGTGCACAAGAAGGACGCCGCCAAGCTGCCAACGCCGCCGCGCCCTTTTCCATCGCGGGGGCGCGAACGAACAACGAACGGCCGGGCCGGGTCGACGATCAAATCACGCGGTGCGCACTGCCCCGCCCCGGCCCGCCCCGGCCCGCCCCGCCACGCTCATTAGCGAGGCCCCGCGGGGAGTCCGGGCGGCGCGGCACATCGCGGCGCGGGGGCGGTTCAGACAATTATTTTCAATGCGCGACGCCTGGCTGGCTGGCTGCCTGTCCGCGCCGTGGATCCGACACGACATGGCGCGCCACGCCCGGCCACGCCGTGGTTCGAATACGCCCTTGGCGGGCTGGCCGCCCTCGTGGCCGCCCTCGTGGCCGCCGGCCCGGCCCTTCCTTGCTGCAGCGCGCCGCGGTATTTTTAGGCCGCCGTCCCTCCCTTCGGCGCCTGCACGCTGCACCTGTCGGGCCGCTGCAGCGCGGCCGCGCCGCCCCGCCGCCGCGACGACGGGGTCCTCGACGGCGTCCGCGACGACGGCCCGCACGTGTGTGACGACGAACGGAGCGTGACATCGCCGCGCTTCACGCCCCGTCACGCACGGGGTCGCGGCGCGTGCCACCCCCGCCCCCCTTATTTCCACTGATGCGCTCGAAATTAATTCAGAGAGAGAGAGAGAGAAGGAGGTAAAATGAAAAGAGATCGGACGTGTTTTTCGAGAGGCCGGCGGATGCGGCGGGTGCAGGTGCACAGCGACACCCACGCTCCGACTGCACGGCAAGGCTCCAAGGCTGTGGCACCGCTCTGCCAAGGTCGCCCAAGGTCGGCGGCAAGGCTGGCCCCGGCTGGGCCCGTGGGCGACAATTGGTACCCGCCCCGCCCCCCTCCCGCCACTGACCGCCACCTCGCCGGTCGTCGGACAGGAAGGCTGGCGCAAAGGCTGGCGCGAAGGCTGGGGAGACGGGGAGAAGGGGCAAGGACACGCCGAGGACATCCACCGCGGCGATAACGGCCGCAACGGCCGCTATCACACACTCACACACACTGACGGAAGAGCGCCTTTAATTTTCCACCGCCGGAGGAAATAATAAACACGCGGCAATGTGGCCAGGCCGCCAGGCCGCCTGGCCCGCTCGCCAAACAGTGTCGTGGCAGTTTGTTTGCTCCGCACGGCTTCGCCTTGTTTCGTTCTCTCGCGATTCATCAAAGCGGGAGACGCGCTTTGTGCCGTGGGTGTGGAGGGGCGGGGCGGCGCGGGGCGGGGCGGTCCAAGGCCGTCCACCATGTGCCGTCGCATCCAACGAGACGCCTTAAATCTTGGAACGGAACGGATAGGCCAAGGTCACTCGTCGTACACACTTCCCCGGCCGGCCGGCCCGTCTGCGAGGTGCGCGGGGGGGGGGCGTGGCGGGGCGTGGCGGGGCGGGGCGTGGCGGTGCGGCGATCAGACGGACACTCCGACTTGCATATCTTGTCCTCCTCGCACTCCGGGCAAGCCAGGGGCAAGCCGACCGGGAATAATTCAATACCGTCTTCGATCGTCGCGTGGCGCGGACGGCGCGGACGGCGCGGTGCAGCAAGGCTCACTCCGAACTGCCCTTCCGTCGCTCTGTCTCCCTCGCACTCTTGGCGCGTTCCGCAGGGGTGCGAGAGAGACAGAGCGACGAAGGCGCCGTTCGGAAGCGCCCTGCGCAGGGTGACGGAGGGCGACGGAGGGCGACGGCGGGTCACGTCCCTGTCGACGACTTCGGACTTCGGCCGGAAACGAAGCCAAGCCGCCCCAATACTCGCACACGGGCCGCGGCAAGCCGGCAAGGGCCCCGCGTTGTTCCCAGGCCATCGCGCCTGTCCGTACACTGTAGCACAGAGACCAAGAATCCAACTAACGGTGCGCAGCTCGCGGGCAAAAAAAAGGACGTAAATATGCCTCAAGTGTGAAAGGCTCTCGTTTATCTTCTCTCTCTCGAACGAGACGCCGTGCAACCCGTTTCGTCCGAAGTGTTTTCCAGAGTACGTGCGCTACTGGCTGGCCGCGGCGTGTTGCGACACGGCGGCGAACCGTTTTGAACTAGACCACGCGGGGATGGGGGAGGGGAGTGGGTAGCAGCTGCAGTGACGTTCATATGCAGGCGGCTGCAGCGGCGACACGGCGCGCAGCGCGCACTGCGCGTGCCGCGCGGACTGACAACAACGACGGCCTTGACGAGCGCCAGGAGGATCCTTCCCTTCGGCGCCCTTGCCCGACAGGCCCGACAGGCCCGACAGGC